CCATTCCATGTTGCCCTTCGAAATTTTTTATTCAATGACTTTTGTGTTTGCTCTCTTGGAGCTTTTTCCTCACTGATTTCATTAATGTCTTGTAAGTTTTCCATGTTAACAAGCCTTCAGACTTTTTTTTTTTTTGCTGCCATCAAATAGCTTTCACCCCACAGCGATGCTCCATGATATTTCTCAGGCTATAAATCTTTACTGGAAGAGATTGCTCATCTTGTTCTTGTGGAGAAGCTGCTGGTGGACTTGAACCACTGGCTTCTGATTAACAGTGCAGCACATACACACTACACCCCCAGAGCTCCTTCACTTCTTCTCGCAAGCCATGGGTGCTAAACTCATTTCACGGTACCAACTTCCACCACAAAATTTACATGATTACCACGTAATCACTAGATTCAATGTTGCTGCCCACCGAGGCTTCCTTACTCCACCACCATCCCTTCCTCATTTGCCTACACCATTCAATACCCATCTCCCATTGACCAGCCACTGATATGATGGCTTAAGTCTCAAGCCATCAGGATTTCTGTGATTCTGAACATATCATGCTGCTGTGAATCTCTTATGATGCAGCCAATATGACTTCAATTTAAAGTTAATAGTATTGCTTGATAGTTTGTGTCCACATCCAGTTGGATCACCTTTGTTGGGAATGGGAACAAATATGGACCTCTCCCAATCCATTCTCCAGACAGCTGTCCTCCAAATTTCCTGGCATATACTGGTGACTGGAGGACTTGAAGCACTTTCTGCAGATCAAAGAATGCAGCCTTTGGTATGGATTGCATCTCAATGTCAAGAAACCAGAGATTCTTGCTACTAGACTGATAGGTAGTGTCATGATGGATGGAGAGGAGACTGAAACTGTCAACAGCTTCATCTTACTCAGATCTACAATTAACACCCTTGCAGTCAGGAAATAAGGACAGATTGCACCAGGAAAATCTGTAGTTAGGAACCTCTCCAAATTCTTGAGGAGAAATTACTTGTTTGAGGAGTAAGGTGCTTCAGATTCAGGATGACAAAAAGAGTTGATGCCTTTGAGTTGTGGTGTTGGAGAAGAGCACTGAAAATTCCATGGACAACCGTGAGAGCAAATAGATATGTCTTGGAGAAGGTGCAGAAGAAGTACTCTTTGTAAGCAGGAGTGATGAGGCTTAGCCTCACATATTTTAGGCATGTTGCTAGGAGAGCTAATCCTTGCAGAACTTAATTCTGGGAAGAGTGTAGGGTCCACAAAGGAGAGGAAAGCCCTCAACAAAGTGGACTGACGTGGTGACTGTCATTTTGGGCTCTTGTGTGTCACGGAGTGTGAGGATAGTGCAGGGTAGAACAGGGTTTATTCACAACTTTTATTCATGGGCTTACTATAACTCATACTTGACTTGATGGCACCTAATAACAACAACCTTACTGGATCCTCTAACTTTCCCTAAGTCCATGGTACTTTAAAGACTGATGGCAGTGTAATTCTACCACAGATGCTGTTCTGTTAATCTTCTTGGGCTCTGTAAGACTAGGACAAAGGTGTGTGTGTGTGTGTGTGTGTGTGTGTGTGTGTGTTCCTCCCAGAGTTGACAAGTTTAAATATACAGTGTACGAAAGTTACTCATGGTTCTGGAGGAAGATGGGTGAATATTGTTAAATGAGCTTTTAATGGAAACTTCTCAGCATAAGTATGCACAGAAAGGCCCTTCAGATGTAGGCATTTTATTGCTACTATGACTCACAGCAAGCCCACACACAACAAACTGAAATCTTGTCCTACCTCACTCATCCTCGTGCCTCTTGTAGTCATTGCGTTAAGCCGTGTCATTCAAGGTCTTCCTCTCATTTGCCTACCCTCTACTTTTGCCGACCCTCTACTTTTCCAAGAATGATGTCTTTTTTTCCCCAAGGACTTCTGCCTCCTGACAAGGTGCACAAAGCATATATGATGAAGTTTCCTCACCCTTGCTTCTAATGAGAACTCTTTCACCAGGAGAAATTTACTTGTTCTTTTGGTAGTCCATGGGATATTTGATACTCTTTGCTAGCATCATAATTCAAAGACATCAATTCTTCACTGTTCACTGTCGAGCTTTCAAATGCACACGAAGTATCATGGCTAGAGTCAAGCATACTTTAAAGTAATACAGGAATTATATCAAACAAAGCTGCATAAACATAATTTTCAAGAAAGCTAATAGGTGTACTCTATCATGATTATATGTGCAGGAATAATGTATTCATGAAGGACTATTTGTTTCACTGTTAATGGAAAAATTTAACTGTTAATGCTTGACTCTCTATGACAAGGAAAAATTTTGATTAGGGAAAAAAACCATACCCAACACATCATTCAGAAATATAGCTTTATTATTAGAATATTTCATAATCTAAAAACTTTTATAATTCTGGGAACAGAATATCCAACTTCTGTACAACCGAGTGACCCTGCAGAATACTAGAAAACAGAATTCTAAGCAATCTGAACTTTGCAATTAGAATCTGTAACTTAGTTTTAGAGGAGGAGGGTAAAAAAAAAATCAAATAAAGAATTCTTCCCTACAAAACAAATAGTCAAAGTAGATCTCTTCTTCAGTTTAACTTTGAACCTGTATTCCCAGAAACTTTGGTGATTTTTTAAAAGAAAGCAATGTCTTTACCTCTAAAGTCTACCATTTTAGTGGACAAAGCAAAAAAAAAGTGAGAAATAAGATACAAAGCGGATCATGGCACCTGTCTTGGGTCATTGGCATGTATGAGGAGCACCCCTTAGAGCAAGCCAGGTCCCAGATTTCAGTAGTAATTAATTTCTCTAAGGAAGCACAACATACATAACATGTTCCCTTTTATGTGAATCAGCATTTAGTTGTAACATCATAGTTTTCTGGAATAAAATAAGTTTCAAAATCCTTTTTCTCCTGTAATATGTATGGAGTAGATATGAGATTATGGTGCTTTCTGAAGTCCATTGGGTACCACTATTGTGGAGGAACATCTTTGCCCTGGGGTCTAGTCTTAAAAAATTGAAAGTGTAAGTTAGAACAAACAAAATCTGTCTGTACCACCTTCCAAAACCAAGTTGTTGTCCGCACACACACATGGTATAGGACAGAGATCATGCAATATGACTAACATATTGTGGGGTGTTGTTTTATATATATGTATATATATATTTAAAAGGCTAAAGTGCAATCATAGCATAAACATTAATAATAAATAATCTCTGCAGTAGAGTAATTCTCCAAATAAATAATTCGTACATTACAGTTTTTACAATGTTAGCCTTAACAGTGACATACACAGGAATGTCTTTTCCCCAGCCTGAGTAAGCTGTCTATATATTACATGAACTGTCTACGCCTCTAAAAGTCAAAGTGAAGATTTTGAAGCCAATCAACACTTCCACTATGTTAGCTTCAAAATGTTTGCATAAGTTACATCTTTCAATTTTTTTACATTTTAATTAGCCGTTTTATTATCTACTTTTAATGAACTGCTAACCTGATGCTTACTGCAATAGTAATCATAACTCTATAAATGTTAAATAGGTTACAATGTTACTTTTTAAAAGAGAATTCCATTTACATGAACGAACATATACAGTGTAAAAATCATCCACCACAAACACATACCTTCCTCATGATTATTTAAAAATAAATTCTTAATATACCTGACATATATTTTATGCGGTGCTATATACATGTCTGTACGGACATATTTGTGGACAAAATTATTCTTGTTTCAAGAAGGATGTCAGCACTTATAAACTCTAATGAAACTTGATGCTACTAATAATTTAAAAAAAAAAACAAAGAAAAAGGGACACAGAAATTCATTTTGGAATAAAATCTTAAAGTAGGAGGTTCTTAACAATTCCTTGTAGAAACAAAAACTGTTTGAAGTGAAAGAGGGGAGGACAGTCTTGGATTCTGCATCCCACGTGCACTGCTTATTTCAGAAATTACTTTAGAAAGCAGTATACAGTATACAGTACACATTTCAGGGGCTTGGTTGAAAGGTTAAGAATGTTTTTTTCTTAAAAGGGCACTGAGGCAGCAAGAAACGAAGCGTGCTGCCTGGTGGAAAAGTCAGGCCAGCAAAGACACGGTCATGCCCACAGCTAACACAGAGTCTGCCAGCCCTGCGAGGGGAGGTCTGTGGACGCGCTGGGTAGTATCTGCAGAGTTTCCACAATGTATTCAAATATATGAACTGTTGGTGTCCTATCCAGCCACTGCATGGAGGAGACATGCACAAAAGAGCTGAACCAAATCATCACCAACAGTGCATAAGGATGCAGGCTGGCACCATGGGCTCTGGGTGCAGAATTATCAGCCAAAGGAGAGAGCAGAGATGTACTCAAGTCTGAACAAACATGCACGGAAGGAAGCAAAATCCCAAACCAAACCAACTGAGGAATGGTCTTTCAGAATGAGAAAAACTAAAGTCTGATGTGAACAAGTCTTAAGCAACTCAAACGCTGAAATGCTGATTAAACCAGAACACATGGAACCCCAGGAACCCTGATCTGGGGGAGGGTGGGCTTTCAAATTCATTGGGGAGGAGGTTATATAGAAGTACCTTTACTTTACAGCTATTGACAAAACAGTACATGGCTCACAATTTAGAGAGCAGTGGCCTCAGACATATTTTCTGCTGGAGATTGAGTCCTTGTGTGGCCCTGGGTCTGAGAGGTGAAGGACTGCACAAAAGCCCAGATGCAGAAAATAACTAGAGACTACACTTATTCTTTTATTAGACATTGGAGCTCTGCTTTACTTAAGTCATGAAACAAGACTATGTAATTACTTTATTCTTTCTGTAATTTGCCTCGTGCTTCTAAAAGGGGTCTGGAGCAAAAGGTATGGTTCACTCAGAATCTGATTTGTTCCATTCTGGTGAATTAAAGTTCCTGAAGGGACAGAAGACAAATGATCCTTTTCTAGTGAGTCTTCCCACGGGTTACGGTTGGTCCCTGAACAACACTCCCCACAGCCGCTACACTTTCAGATGATATTCACAATTGCTGTTGGCTTTTTCTTAGCCATTTTGGGCCTGATGTTGCCTTTGCGGTTCAGCCCCAGGGGCTCCCCTTTCTTCGGTGGTCTGCAGAGTTCCCTAGAGGACTCGGCGTGGTCGTGGATGGACTTGGCAGGCTGCATGCTGGCTCTGTCGTCCTTGGCTTTTTTCAGGTAGTTCCTTCCCTTTAGATGAAAATGGGTCTTGAGATCCGAGTGGTTACACACGGAATGTGCGTGTCCGCGGCTTCTGCAGGTGGTTAGCGGGGAGGGGGATGAACAGCAAGAAAGATTTCTTTTAAAACCTTCAAGGAACAGTAACACGATTTTTTTTCTTTCCAAACTACCCGCAGACTTCATGGAATGATCATGAAATGGTTACGTTAACCTCCTAAGGAAACAGTACAAGTTCTACTTCACTAGTAAAGAAAGAAGGCTAAAGCACTCTTAAATGAGTGCCCAGGGTAACACATGCAGTCTGACTATGGGGAAGATGGGACCAGGGCTTCCACTTCATGACCTTTTAAGTAACTGGGAAGTTGATTCAAACAAATCTGTTGTATTGTGAGTTTGTAATTGATAACACACATATCTGTCTATCTATCTATCTATCTACAGAGTTGTAGTGGCTTGTTTTTGTTGACTGCTGTCAAGTCGAGCATGACTTATAGTGACCCTATGAACAAAAGTTCTGAAGTCTTTCTATAACCATCTACATTTATCAACATTCATAGAGTTTCCAGAGGCATATTGTTTAGGAAGTGGATGCCACTCCTGCTTCCAAATGGCTTAGTGGTAAGGGATTGCACTGCCAACTTAAAAACATCTAGTTCAAATCCATCAGCTACTCTATGGGAGAAAGAGGGGCAATTTTCTCCCATTCTTGATGATAAATGTGTATTAGTAAGCACATTACACTTATTTATATCAGTATTATGACTACTTTTTAGAGTTCCTGGATACTTTTCAACATTTAAGACCTTGATTGCTAGCCAAAAGGGGTTGATGGTTCAAAACCATCACAGGTATTTTAAAAGACAAGCCTAATGATCTGTTTCCAAAAGGCCACAGCTTCAGAAAATCTAAGAAGCCATTCTACTCTATACATGAGGTTGTCATTAATTGAAATCAACTCAACTGGAATTAACAATAGTTAACAAGAAAGTGTCAATAAGAGAATTACTCTAAATAATACTTTACAAATATTCTTAAAGTGCTATTACAGTGCTACATACTGATAAAATATTAGTAGTTAAAACTGATTATAACATTTCACTAATTAAGTACACATGCCAATAAACTCTAACCAGAGCTTCTGAAGTTCATTCATATGAGATAAATTTTGTAAAATGCAACATGAAAACATTGTCCTAGCTTTATTAAATGGCACAGGATAACAAGGTATACATACAGGCATTTGGGTTTCCTATTTGAAGAGATATCCGTAAGCTGAAGACAATCGGGGGGGGGGGGAAGAAAGAAAACAATACATCACTTGACAGTGGGATTCAGGTGTGGAAATCTTCTTTTTTTATTTCCTCCTCATGTTTTTAAGACATTTTATTTGTCCCAAGGAAGTCAATAGTAGGTACTGGGAGCATTACCCACAGCATTGTTCATCACCCAGGAGGGGACAAGAATGTTTTCCTGCCCGGCCTCTGCCTCCTTGGAGAGCCCACGTACACTGGTTCTGAGATGCCAACATCAGCATATCTCAAAAATTGCAAAATATCAAATGGCATTCCCACCAGAGTAACACTTAAAGAAGCACGTTTTTTACAAACTAGAATGATGTGCCATTATTTTGTGATGGGTTTGGCCTGCATTTGCAGCTAATTTGCTACAGCTGTGGCTGGTCACAGTATATCAACTAAGGAGAAAATTGGCATAAAATGATTATTGGCCAAACTACATCATTTCTAAAATGATAGCATATGAAGACCAACTCCACAACTGTCCCTAAGGCCATCTATCATTGACATTATTTTCCACCCCCAATAAATCACGCAATAAAATATCTGCATGCACTTCTGTGGCTGGGTGCAGGATGACTTTATCTGCACCAGAAATTGATAATTATCATTTTGCAATCCAGCTGTCACCATTTGCCAGTTTACAGGCAAGTTCAGTTCATTTCCAGCATCAGTGCCTGTCCTCCTACTTTTAGCTTGTGCTTAAAGGAGTGGTGACAAGACAGACAGAAGAAGTCAATTAGAAAGGTTTTGTGAGAAAAGATCACCTTGGTTCTAGCACCCAGTTTGATCAAGACATGTATCCCCATTATGCTAAAATTATCTTGAAAACTAAGCTCAGCCTAACAAGTTTACAACCCCAGTTCTTATCTGCAGCCTGAGCTTTAATGAAGAGCAAGGTTTCTTAAACAGAATTTTTAGGGTCCCCAAATTATCCAAAAATGACTGGAGCAACACGTCAACAGAGAACAGCGAGATGTGCAGGCTGGGTTTAGAAGAGGCTGTGATACTAGGGATATTATAGCTAATGTTAGATGGATATTGGCAGAAAGCAGAGAATACCAGAAGAATGTATTTCTGCTTTATTGACAATGCAAAGGCTTTTGACTGTGTGGATCACAGTAAGTTATGGCTGACTCTGAGAAGAATGGGAATCCCAGAACATCTGATTGTGCTAATGCGAAACCTATACTTGGACCAAGAGGCAATCATCAAAACAGAGCAAGGAGACACTGCATGGTTCAAAATCAGGAAGGGCGCCTGCCAGGGATGTATTCTATTTCCATACCTTTTCAATCTGTATGCAGAATAGATCATCTGGGAAACTGGTCTGTATGAGGAGGAATGTGGCATCAGGATTGGGGAAGATTCATCAACAATCTGCATTATGCAGATGACACATCGCTGCTTGCTGAAACTGAGGAGGACCTTATGCGCTTGTTGCAGAAGGTCAAGGACTGCAGCCTTCAATATTGACTGAAGTTCAACATCAAGAAAAAAAATATTTTCACCAGTGGGCCAACTGGCAGTAGCATCATGGATAATAAAGAGATTTAGATAGTTAACAGTTTTAGTTTGCCTGGCTCAACAGTCAACACTCTCGGTACCAGCAGCCAGGAAATCAAGAGACAAACTGCGTTGGAAAAGTCAGTTGTCAGGGACCTCTCCAGAGTACTGAAGAGCAACGATATAAGGCTGGAGACTAAGGTGCACCTGATCCTGGCCATAGTCTTTGCAATTGCGTGCTATGGGTAGGAGAGCTGGACAATCACTAGGGATGATAGAAAGAGAATTGATGCCTTCAAGCTGTGGTGCTGAAGAAGAGTGTTGAATATACCATGGACTGCTAGGAGAATAAACAGGTTTGTCCTGGAAAGGGTGAAACCAGGCTGCTCCTTGGAGCTAAGGATTCTGAAGCTTCGTCTGACACACTTTGGACATGTTGCAAGGAAGGACAATTCCTTGGAGAGGGATATCATGTTTGGGAGAATGGAAGGGCAGCACAAGAGAGAAAGGCCTTTGATAAGATGGATCAATTGAGTGATTGGAGTAATGGGAATAGGTGTGTCAGAGATATTGAGGTTGGCATAGGATAGAGTGCGGTTTAGGGCTCTCTTGTACAGAGGATCACTATGAGATGCAAGCGACTGGAAGGCACATAACAACAACAAGGAAGTTAAGATGGGATTCTTGCTTTTTGCCTTTCTGTTGTTAGTTGCTGTCAAGACGACTATGGCTCATAGCAATCCTATGAACAATAGATTGAAACTGTCCTCTATCCTGTGCTATCTACATGATCTGCCATTCTTATGCCCCTTGTTGCAGTCACTGTGTCAATCCATCCAGTTAAAGACTTCCTCTTTTGCTGACCAGTCACCTTTCCCAGCATGAGAAGTATCTTTTTCCAAGCACTAGTCTCTCCTGACAGCATGTCCTAAGTAGACAAGACAAAGTTTCGCCATCCTTGCCTCTGAGGAACAGTCTGATTGCACTCCCTCCAAGATAGATTTGCCTTCCTATACAATCTAAAATCAGTATTATTTATTATGTTGTTTATGTTGCTTGAGATCGGCATGAGATCAGCAAATCATGAAGAAGCAGGAAGAAAGCCCTATTTTGGCATGAGGGTGCTAAGGTTACCCCACACGCAAAGGTAGCAAAGGTAGAGCAGCCAGTGGCTTCTGGGGAAGTAGCAGGCAACATTTCTCCCTTCATGCTACCACTACACACCTTAACTGAGATTTCTTAATGGGCTTTCATGGAAGCAGGAGTGGCATCCACCTCCTAAACAACATGCCTCCGGAAATGCTATGAACTTTGATAAATGTCAACAGTTGTAGAGGGGCTTCAGACCTTTTGTTCATAGGGTGGCTATGAATCGTGCTCGACTGGAAGGCAATCAACAACAACAAAAGAACACAGAATACAAAACGGCACAAGTTTAACACACATGCTCTCTTTTTTATTATTGAGGTATAACACACGTATTAATGTTATTAATGCTAAATATAAAGGCTGCAGAAATTTGGGGGGTGGATGTTCCTACCCAGGGAAAGGAAAAACTGAGTTATCAAATACTTAAAGAAACCCTTGACTTCCAAAGAGTATCAGAGTTACAACCTGGGGGCCTATGGGTGTCATATGGGATCCTGATGGGACCTTGGGAAATGAGAACAATTTACTGCCATGGGGTAGGCAAAATGGCTTTTCTAGTCCATTAGCTTTGATTTCCACCACAAGGCCGGGTGGGGAATACACAAACCAAGTGGATAGACAAATTCAGAATGAGATTGGTAAATTTCCTGTCCCATCCCAGGTTTCAACTGAGCAGGTTTAGCAGCGGAAAATGGAAATCTCATTACCAGTCACACACACACACACACACACAGAGCAGAGAGGGCAGCGAGAGTGCTTCAAGGTCAAAGATTTCTGCACCGATCAAATGGACACCTAAATGAGAGGGGCAGCAATGGCAGCAGCAGAGAACCAGAGGTGGACGCTGACACGGGGCTGACTCGGGCCTGCTGCCCACCACACCTTCACCCAAGCCCACCAGGGAGATGCCAGAACTGGCAGAAATAAGAGAGTTTTTTTTAACACTGACCTAAAGCCTCAAGACAGTCCTGTGAAGATGTTTGCTAAACTGTCCTGACTGAAGAATTGTATCCTTTTGCTACCTGAATTATAACTTGCTTGATTTCCCAATAAACTTATAACCATGAGTATAATTCTATGAAGTTCTGCGTGGCCATTGCAATGGATTGCTGGACCCAGTGAGAACCCTGAGATGGGCACCTGGGGAGTGTGGTGACATGTCTGACCTCATGGAAATAGAGTCTGTGCTGTGCTGATGGGGAATGTTCCCCCTTGTGAAATTAGTGGTGGTCAGACGTAACCACCCCATGTTGCCAGCATGCTTTTGGTAGCTGTGTCTTACTGGAGAGCAAATGTATGAATAAATATGGGTCAATATGAGTCAATATGGGTTATGAACTCATATATACACATTATATAAGCCACAACCCCAGCACTTCCAATTGCATTTCAACGCATAGCATATGTATGACAAAGCAGAGGGCTTTCGGGAGCCACAAATCTTCACAGGGGGAGAATGCCTCATCGTAGTTCCACAGAGAGGCTGCTTGGTATCAACTGTTGACCTTTCAGTTTGTATGACCTTTCATAAACTGTGCGCCAGCCACACACTGGGTTAAACCCAATTAACCATCAAAACAACCAATTATTATGATTTATACTTAACAGATACAGAACCTGACGCAGAAAATATCCTCACAGTCTCCTGGTTTACCAGTGTTCAGTCTGGGCTTCAACCTAAGCGAGCAGACTCTAAGCCTAAACAAGTCTTCACCCTTTACTGTCTCCCTAACAAGCATGTGTTTGCAGAAAGGCAAAAGAGTACGTGTTCACTAAGTGGAACAAATAGCTATTTTGGCGTTTCTCCAATAAGTCGGTCCATTCTGAGGTCTGGGGGCAAAGCCTGAGTCTATCACAGCCACCAACAATATCCTATGTTCTCCTTAGTGTGAACATAAGGAGTCACTCGCTCTCCTGAGGGAAATCTGATTCCCATTTGTCTCAGTTCCTTGGCTCTCCAAATACTTTTCATCTAGATAGACAATTGTATTGGGATGAGGATTAGGGTCCTAGATCTGAGTGCTAGCATATAAAAATAGAAATAATCTTCTCCTGAAAAACAAAGTAAAAACTAAGTACTTCTACTGAAAACCAAAACAAACATGCTGTCTCATGAAGGTTTCTACCTGCCCATCAAGCCTTTCTCCTAAACTTTCCTTTTCAAAATAACAGCCAGTCATGGATGGATCCACAGTTGTTCAGATCAAAACCAGGGACTCATTCTTTATTCTCATCCTTCTCTCTCCCACCATATCTCCATAATCCTTCAACAAGTCAACTGGTCTGTTTTACCCCCCCGGGATAGCAACCTCGTCCCTCTACCTCCACTTTCTCCATGCTGCTAACCTCTCCTATCTGCCATGATAGTTAACTGGTCTCCTATTCCGGCGCCTCTCCAGTCAATTCCCCACAGAGAGCCAAAGTGATCTTGCTAAAACAGATCACCTCCCGATTAAAATCTCCACTGTGCACTTTGGAACAGATTCAACTCCTTATGTGAGCTGGAAGGCCCGGTATGACACAGGCCTTTCCCTGACTTTATCTCCTATCACTCATACACACCAAGATGGCCCCTCCAAAGGCATATTCTATTCTTTTGCCTAGAACATTCCACTTCAACATTTCCACAGTTTAAATGCTGACCACAGCTTTTCCTGACCACTAGGGAGCTCTGGAGGCACAGTTCACAGGGCTTTGAGCGGCCAACCCAAAGGCCACACTGCTTTGGTGGCTGGAATCCATCAGCAGTTCCGAGGGAGAAAGAGAGGCAACCTCCTCTTTGGAAATCCAGTGGAGGCTCAGCTCTGAGTCAGTTCCTTCTCAAAAGCAATGAGTTTGCATTTTCAGAGGGTCTTTATCAATCAGAATCAACTCAACTGTTAACAGGATAATCTTAAAGTAGTCCTCCTTCCTGGGCATATCAAACATATCATCTATCTTTGTCTTTATGGTAGTTATCGCTATTCGCAATTACCATCTTTAATTGTTTAATCATTCATTGTTAGGTCTGTAAGAGTGAGGAGCACTTCGCTCCTGTTCACAGGTGCTTTCTCAGCACCAATAAGTGCTGTGCCCCCAATAAATAAGTGCTAAATGAATTACTGATTGTCCTAATTTAGCAAGCTGCAAGAAAGAAATGTAAAGCTTAAAATAAGATTATCCAAGCTGTTCCGTGACCTTCCACTTGAGCAATTCTGTGAGTAATTTTGCCAGATGGGATATTAAGTCACTTTGTGCCTAATTCGACAGCATTTTTCAGAGCACAAAGATAAAATGTCCAAGTAAGCAAAGCACATTTTTAGAACTCAGCCAGGTGAAAAGAGCACAAATGCTCAAGGGGATGAAGGAAAAATACAGATGTTGAAAGATTCCTTCACAAAACGAGCTAAAATTGAGGAGAAGGAAGACACAGAACATCATTAAAGAAGGAAGTAACATATGGTAACTGATACATTTCACTGGAGATGGTCGTGGGCAAAAAGTGGCAGAAGAAGGAGGGAGTGAACCAGAGATGCATGAAAGATGAGTTCTGATGAGGATGACATTGACTTTGCCATACAGTCTCAGTGGTGACTAAGAAAAGTGGTAATTGAGGGCAACTCTCACTGTTCCAGAGAAAGATGCTGAGAAGTGAAGCAGAAGAGCCTGGGGCACTTGGCGAGAATGTTCTGGTCCATCCTAGATACACTAAAGACAGACGTTACCTCAGATAGAGCTGAGGTGCCTGAAGCGTGGGTTCCCCAACCTGTTCCCTAACCTGGCCAATTAGTTTATAAGGATATTAGCTCAAACATTTTATGTTAAAATATCCATGTTACTCAGGGTATCTACAACCACAGGGATCCTGGGAAGCTAGGCTTGGTTAGCACTTTCATTACAGCAAAGACGTGGCCCTAATTTTACAGGAGAACATGTACTAAGTGAAACATATAGTCCAGCTAGGGAGAAAATGGTCTCAGGGTCCATGAAATATCTCCTGTGGTACTCTGTGGTATAGAGTGTAAAGAAATACAAATGGAAACAATAACACCATATAGTTGAGATCACTTTGAACAGTTACGGGTCTCTCCAAGAAATAGTAACTGTATTTCTTTTTGTTATAGTTTTTGTCCCTGACTGGAAGATCATGGAACTTAACATTACTATTCTAAGGTTGGGTGAACATTACAGTAAGCTCCATGCTAAAATTAGTTTCTTTTGTTTCTCAGTCTCCTTTCTGTCGTCTCCCTTCTCACCTGTCTTCCTTCTCCTGTCTTCCTTTTTCCCCCTACTTGCCTTTCATTTTTTTTCCTTTCCAATAATTTGGGTTTTTACTTGAACTTGATTCTGTTTCCTTTGAATCTTGATTTCCAGAAAGCACAACTAAACTTTGTTATCAACCCAAGAGGTGTTTGTTAACCTTTTGCTTCACATAAACATTACCCATCTTTGGTGGATGGCCCAGGGTGACTCACCACATGCTCACTGCGGCACAGACCGGTGGAGGGCTGCTGGCTCTGGTAATACTCTAACTGCTTCTCTGCCAGTTCCACCCGTTGTAACAGATTCTCGATGAAGTCATGGAGTCGAGCTTTCCCTTGAACCTCCTTCTCAGCCGCTGCTTCCAGGAAATGGTTGAATGTAACAACTTCTCTGCAAAGCAAAAGTATCAGAATGCAAAAAAAGAAAAAAATTAGAATGAGACAAAAAAAAATCAGAATGAGACAGGAATGAATTCATTCAGTATATTATATATGAGTGCCAAGTACATGCTGTACTTCTGAAAAATCAGCCATTGAAAACCCTTTGGAGCGTAGTTCCACTATAACACTCACAGTGCAGTCATGAGTCAGGATCAATTAGATGACAACTGGCTTGGTTTGGATTTTTTTTGTCATTTTTTATTGGTTTGCACACAATTATTAATATACATTGTGCTATTTCATTCATGTACATTGTATTCTATTCAATTATTCACATATATCATATTTTATATAATTAATTGGTTTGGATTTTTTATGTTAGGTTCATGGTCTAGTGGATAAGGAGCTGCACTTCCAACACAAAGGTGTGGGGTTTGAATCCACCAACCGATCAAGGAAGAAAGATGGGCAATTTCCTCCAGTGCAATTCACAGCTTCTAATAACCTGCAAAGAGAGTCAGTTGGTTCCGACTTAATGGCACATAACTGAGGGAGACAGTTACTATGTAAAATGTAGAAATAAATATATGTCCAGTGGTAACAGAATAAGAAGGAAACGCAACTGAGGAATTCTTTTTTCTTTTTTCCCCTACCTTTTCCTGAGTTTTCATGAGGAGACAGGTATAAAGGAAAGGAAGAAGTGAGTGAGAGTTTAGAAAGATCCTGAACATCCTTTTTCATCAGGTAACCTTTAAGCAGCAACTTGGCCATGAACCACAGAGATATCCCAGCAGGATAGTGCAAATATGTCTGAGGGCCAGCAAGGGGCCTGTGTGTCCAGAGCAGAGTGGATAAAGGAAAGGATGGTAGGAGCAGGAAGCCTGAGAGGGCCGAAGGTCCAATAAGAAAGCTATTCTAGAAGGTAGGTCTCCTGCAAAGGTAAGCAAAATACTTCCAACAATATTCTTCTTATCTACAATATTCTGTATGAATTCACAAATGTCTAATGACTGTTACCATTTTATACTTTAATTTTAAAGGAAACTGTGATAATTATATTTTTTCTCCTGATTTCTAAATAGTATAAATTCTTCTTAAAGAATTCAAAACAATACATTAAAGACATAACCAAAACCCATTGCCACCACCAGCTTCTGACTCCTCTATAGGATTTCCAAAGTTGCACATCTATAACTCTGGTGGCCTAGTGGTAAGAAGCTACACTGCAATCCCAAAGGCAGGCAGTTCTAATCCACCAGCTGTTCAACGGGAGAAGGATGGGAAATCTCCTCCTGTGTGATTTACTGCCTTTGAAAAGTTGCTGGAGCATGAGTCAATTCCAACTTGATGGCATGCAAAAACAACAAATCTTCAGGGGAGCGGAGTGCCTTGTCTTCCTCATAGAAGACTAGTGGGTTCAAATTGATGACCTTTTGATTACTAAGCCCAATGCTTAACCCACTACACCATCAGACAACTCGAACGCATTGCCACTGAGTCTCAAGTGGCTTCCGGGGGGTTTTTGGAGACTGTGTACTGCACACGATATTACCCATCTTTCTCCTTGGGAGCTGTTGGTGGATTCGAACCCTTTGGGTTAACAGCATAACTCTCAATAGATTATGCTGCCACAGCCCTTCCTACACCATTAGGTCTCCTTTAAAAAACATACAGAGGAAAGGAAATCATACTTGAAATCCTACTATACTGAGACAATCACCATAAACACTGTGGTAGTGATCTCCATGAGCATCTCTTTATAAACACACAACACACACACATTAATTTTCATTATCTTATCTCCCCCCTACCCCTAATTCCACTTTTCTCTATACCCTCTTTCTCAGACCATGGACCTGGTAACCACACTAACAGTGTGTGTATACAGTAACACTATTCTGTGTTATTTTTCACATAAATTTAAAATAAACAAACAACCCCTTCCACCTCCAAGGCTCCTTTTAGCCGTTTCTTTTCTGCAATCTGCCTCCCTCTTTGGAGCTAATCATCTCTACTAATTTCACTCCACTGAGATGAGCATTTATTTTCATGAGTCTTCAAAGTTTCTCTCAATCTTCATGGAGTGCTACCTCATCTTTCTGGCCATGTCTCACTCAAAGCCACAATTTTAAAGACTGATCATTGCTACCCTCTTTCTCTTTCGTTTCCAATTAGTGAATCTTAATTTTCCAGTCTAATCTCATGTAATTCTTCTACATAGTCAATTAAATGAATTGTTTTCTCTCTTCCATCCCAACCACAGCTTGATATTTATTTTCCACTAAGCTCTATAATATCTGGAGCTCAGAACATCAGAGAAGTAACAGCTGTCATTATTTTGTACACAATCTTTGGAAAATAGCTGGTTGTGGCTTCCATATACTTTTTTCAGTACTACCACTCACTTTTACAATTATTTGTGATGTCTCTTACAAATATGTCACACTTGGCCATACTGAAACTTTCCTAACACTTCCTACAGAGTCATATGTTCCTGGGGGGGAAAATCTGTGAATTATATATTTATATTAAAAA